GATACCTTCTTCTACGTTATACCAAGGCAGGCCTGGTACTTCAACTTGACTTAGGGTAGGCCACCGCATAATCCATGCTTCAGTAAGCCAATCAAATAAATAATTAGATCCTTTCCTAACCTTTTGAAACATTGAATGAAGAATCTGTACTTGTTGTTGTTATGTGCCATCGAGTCGGACACGACTCATAGCGACCCCTCCTTGGGTTTCCGAGGCAGTATCACTATGGAAGGATTGCCCTATCTTCTTTCCGAGGAGTGGCTGGTGGGTTTGAACCGCCAGCCTTCTGGGTACTTAGTGGGCCTAAATCAATAAACTCAGACTGATCCAATGTTACATTCCTTGTATCATTATCCCACACCCTCAGTAGCCATTCCCATCTCCAAGTTTCTGTCTGTACATGTTAGCAAAATCAAGTAGGTCTTCTCAGGTGCAGCATACCACCTCCTCGGTCACATTTTGTATTTCGCCTTTTGGGTCTCACCTGGACTAAAATATAGTTATAGGTCTTGCAGCAACAGTGGGTGGTTGGGGCAGTTCCTGAAAACATTCAGCAATGTCTTCCATGGCCTCTGCCTCAGTCCATGATCCATGCAGCAGGAACAGTTGGGTTAATCCCATCAAACTGAGGTGGAAGGGATAATGGTTTTATAGTAATCCCTGCAGATGGGAGGGATTCAACAGAATTTACAGGCTCCATATTCTCCTCTTCCTGACTGTCTGCCCTTACATCCCCATTCCAGGTTTCAGGTTCCCATTTTTTTTTCCCAATCAGTGCCCTCACTTTAACTTCAGACACATTCTAGGTTGGCAGTTCATTGGCATTGTAATACCTTATAATAAGAGTCTGGGTTTGGTTTTTGGCAATATCAGCTCTGTTACTAGAATAAATAAAGCTTTCTTTCAGAACACAACTGGAAACATTGAGATCTTTTATGTGGTGCTTGAGCTGTGACTCAGCAGCCCTTAGCCCATCTCAGTCTTTCACCACTTTCTCTAGTATAAGTAGGACCAACCAACCAGCTTCCTTATACTCCTCATGCTGACAAAATTGCAGAAAAGTATCAAATATGTGATCACCCAGAGCCTCACTTCTCAAAAGTACTCGATCTATTGGTGGTGCTATTTTGCATATTAATGTTGCCGCCTCATGCCACAGATTAGTGCCTCAGGCATTCGACTGCTAACCAGAAGTCTGTCAGTTTAAATCCACTAGACTTTCTTCAGAAGGAAGACTGGGAAATCTACTTCTGTAGAGATATTGCCTCGGAAATCCAAGGAGGGGTTGCTATGAGTCAGATCTGACTCAATGGCACTGAGCCTGAGCCTTTACTAATGGAGGCAGAGTCACCAATGCCTTTATGATTAATCAAATTGGAGAACTAAAACGGAATCAGTGAGAATCAATTTCGGAAGCACGTCGTTATGATTTTGTCTCTCTAGAACCACTCCTGGGAGCTCTGGTGGCATAGTGCCGAAGGCATTTGACTACTAACCAGAAGGTTGGTGGTTCAAACCTACCAGCTACTCCTCAGAAGAGAGGTTGGGCAATCTACATCCATAGTGATACCGCCTCAGAAACCCAAGAAGGGGTCACTATGAGTCGGATCCGATTTCACGGCAGTGCGTTTTTTTTTTTTTTTGGTTTTAGAACCATTTCTGGTACCAAATGTGTTAGGCTGGGTCTCTAGAGAAGCAAAACTAGTAAAGCTTATGTATGTAGAGAAAAAGAAAAAAAGCACCTCACTGCCGTCAAGGTGGATCCAACTCATAGTGACCCCTCATTGGCTTTCCAAGGCAGTATCACTACAAATGTAGATTGCCCAATCTACCTTCTGAGGAGTGGCTGGTCAGTTTGAGCCATCATCTTTCTGGTTAGCAGTTGAGTGCCTTAAGCACTATGCCACCAGAGTTCCTATATACATATATATATAGAGAGAGAAATGTATCTTAGGAAAATGGCTCACACACTTACAGAAGCTGGCAAGTCCCAAGTTCTTGGAATCAGACATCCTGCTGGAGGCTTTTCCCAGCTCTTGCAGCTGCGGGGGCTGACGAGCTCAAGGTTGGCAGGCAGTATACTGGCTGTTGACTCCAACGAATGATGAATCCAAGATCTCCAGGCCTAATGGTGGATTGTTCACTCGTGGACAGTTGTAAGCAACACAACAGGATCTTGATCCACTGAATAGTGTCTCTTTTTCCCAAGATGTCCATAAATATATTGGAAGCAGGCCACAACCCTTTCCAACCGATTGGCTTCTCAAAACATACATCTGATCTCATCATGGGAATAACCCACATCACAACTGCCTAAACCTCTCAGAATTGTGGTCCAGCCAAGTTGACACACAATTCCAACTATCCCATACTGTATTTAAGATGAAAGCTTACACAGCAAATTAGGTTCCTGTTTAACAATTTCTATACACATTATTCAGTGATACTGGTTATATTTTTCACAATGTGTCATTACTCTCATTCATTCCATTCTGGTTGTATCATTTCTAATACTAGTTTCCCTGTCCTTTTACCTTTTCATCTTTGAAGTAGAGTAATTTTTGACCATTTGGTCTCATAGAGGTCCCCCCCTAAAGGTGCTCATTATTCATTGGTAATATTCTTTACATTATGATTTAATCTGATATTTAACTAACTAGTGACCTCAAGGGATAATTTTGATTTAAGGTTTGAAATATATCTTAGGGTGATTGTCTTAGAGAGTACTCTAGTCTCAACTATCCAGTAAGTCAAGAGTTTTTAAGAATTTGACTTCTTTTCCACATTTTTCTTTCATTCTATTAAAAGAAAAAACAAAAAAACCCGAAAGCCAAACCCACTGCCATTGAGTTGATTCCAATGCATAGCAACCCCCTTTGGGTTTCCAAGGCTATAAATCTTTATGGGAGTAGATTGCCTCATCTTTTTCCCATGGAGCAGCTGGTGGGTTTGAACTGCTGACCTCCTGGTTAATAGGCAAATGCCTTTCCCACTGTGCCACATCTAATGTGGGCCTGGTCAGAACAGGTGGTAGTGATAGCCATGGGCCATCTGGTTCTGCTCTGAGGGTAGATGAGATTGTGGTTCATGCAACTATTAGTCCGGTAGAGTATTTTGTTCCCTAAGTCTTCGGTTTACTTCTATCTCTTTTGTTGCAGACAAGTATAGAGCAGTATTAGTATGTTAGATGGCTGCTTGGAAGCTTTAAGACCTCAGACACTACACACCACACTGGGATGTAGAACATACATGAAGCTTTCCTCCCTCTCATAAATTCTACCACACTTTCCTAACAGTGTGGAACTAAACTAATTGTAATGTGTGCCAATGAACTGATTTACCCCATAAGACTCTGGTTCTAAGTCTTAAACCTTGAAAACCAATTTCATGAGGTATTTGTATATGCCTAAGAAGTATTCAAGGAGCTCTGGTAGCATAGTGCCTAAGGCACTTGACTGCTAACCAGAAGGCCGGCAGTTCAAACCCACCAGCCACTTCTCGGAAGGAACGTTGGGCCATTTACTTCCGTAGTGATACTGCCTTGGCAACCCAAGGAGGGGTCGCTATGAGTTGGGGCCAACTCGATGGCACATAACAATAACAGGAAGTATTCATAACTGAGTCTCCTGTGTGGTTTATTATGTATATAGATAAATATAGGAGCTCTGGTGGCATAGTGCTTAAGGCACTTGACTGCTAACCAGAAGGCTGGTGGTTCAAACCCACCAATCACTCCTCGGAAGGAAGGTTGGGCAAATTTACTTCCATAGTGATACTGCCTTGGCAACCCAAGGAGGGGTTGCTATGAGTTGGGCCCGACTTGATGGCACATAACAACAACAACAAGTAGTATTCATAACTGAGTCTCCTGTGTGGTTTACTATGTATATAGATATATATAGGAGCTCTGGTGGTGTAGTGCCTAAGGCATTTGACTACTAACCAGAAGGCTAGCGGTTCAAACCCACCAGTCACTTCTTGGAAGGAAGACTGGGCAATCTACTTCTGTGGAGATACTGCCTCAGAAACCCAAGGAGGGGTCACTATGAGTTGGAATTGATGGCAGTGAGATTTTATAGATATATATGAATACACACATATACCTGTATGTACATAAACACCTATAGATACATCTATCTATGCATACATATGTAGTCACATATTCGTATATTATATTATATACATATTTGTGTGATGACCCCCATATATTTTTGGTTGTTGGTGGTGTTTCCAAATTGCATTTGTTATATTCTTTACCAAAGTCATCCTTTTCTCTTGTGCACTTCATAGTGACTTTGGTTAAACTTTTGTCTACTTTGTCTACTTCACTCATATTTGATTCTATCTTTCCTATAACCAAAACTAACAATAGTCTATTCTTGACAGTGTTTCCTCCCATCCTGCATCTATTCCTGTCTTCTTATACAAGTACAGTCATAACAATATTTGTCTTTTTGTGATTGACTTATTTCACTTAGCATAATGTTCTCCAGATTCTTCTACATTGTATAATGTTCCAAGGACTTATTATTTTTTTATGGCTGCTTAGTATTCTACTGCATGTATGTACCACATTTGTTTTTAATCCATTTATCTGTTGATAGGAACTTAAGTTGTTTCTATCTTTTTGCTATTGTGAATAATGCTTCAGTGAACACATGTGTGCTCAACAAATATTATCACCTAATTTGTGAACACGTAATTACATAAGGAACACATTGGGATGGAAGTAAAATAGAACAGGGAGTTCTGGATAAACCTCAGTGTTTTCAGAAATTAAGAATATAAAAAATACTCTCAAGAGTAGGAAACTTGATTTTTAACACTGGTGTTCTTATTTAAGGGCATCTTGGCTATGAAGTGAGGTTTTAGCTTTTTATAAAAATCTAAGAGTATGATCTCTGCCTCTATGTTCCTTTGATATTTACTCTAAACGTTTAATGACTGGACTCTGCATTGTGAAATTGTATTCAAGTCCCAATAATTTTACGAGATGAACAATGAAGGTATTTCCTATTATCTATCTGTGGGATTTTCTTCTTGGTCAAAAAGGACTAAATAGCATGCTTTTGAGGCAAGTATGATAGAAAATATTCAGTCTGTTTTCTCACCAACCCTAGCCTTCTACCCCAAGACCAGCTGATGGATCTGTTTGACAATTATCCATTGTCAGAAGCCAGTTAGCTAGATGTTTGTGTGAAAAACTCAAAGACTATCTTTGAAGCACTACATATCCGGTCATATTTTGATCTCCTCCTTCTTTAAAGACTTTAATTGAAAAACTCCTTTTCATTCTATGGTCTTCTGCTGTTTTGTGATAATAGCATATTCAGTTCTATCTTACTGGGAGTAGGTGACTTAATTTCTAGTTCCAGTTGTGCTGCTAGGAAGTTGTATGGCTTTAAGCCAGAAGTTGACAAACTACACCCTACAGATCAAATCCTGCCTACCACCTGTTTTGTAAATAAAGTTTTGTTGGAACACAGAAATGATTATTTGTTTACTTATTGTCTAGGGATGCTTTCATGCTACAATGGCAGAAATGAATAGTTTTTAAAGGACCATATGTCCCACAGAGTCTAAAATATTTACTGTGGTCCTTTATAGAAAAAGTTTGCCAATTGCAGATTTAGACAAGTCTATCTTACTTGAGCCTCAGCTTCCACATTTGTAAACTTTGGGAGTTGAATTAGGTTGCTCAGGGCCCATTCCATCTTTAACATTCAATTACTCCACAGCTCTCTCTACATAGCAGTCCCATCTCTTATCAGTCATTGTATGCTGGGGCACAAATCTATTCATATTTTCATTCATTTATTCAATTTATTAAACATCTAGCACTGGTAAGCCACTGTTGAACATTAATAAGTCTAAGGGAGTCACTGCCTTGAAAAGCTTATAAACTACTTAGAAGACATAGTCACAAGCTTTACAAGTTAAATAATAGTTGAAGGTAGTAAATGGTAACATATCAAATTAAGTGATAATTATGAAAGGATTTCAGAGTAAAGAATTCTCCATGGCTTAGGAGAAGGTAAGATACAAGGTTGGATTGCCCTGTAGAATACTGGATTCAGTGTCCCTCTAAAACTATAGTTTTCAAACTTTAGTGTAAAAAAAAAAAAAAAACAACACACATATCAGTAAGTAAAAAAAAATCAAATTCCTTGAGATTCTGAATGTAAATCTGGGGTACAGCCCAGAAATGTGCGTTTTCAATAAACACCCTGGTGATTCTCATAGAGAACTTTCTTACTTTTAGAAATTTGTTAGTTGTTAAATACTGTTTGTGGGGAAGGAATTATACTCCATCTGACAGTTATTGAACCCTGGGTATTGTGGGACTAGGAGAAACTCCATTGTTCAGGGAGCAATTGCTTCAGTGACTTTCTCTCTCCGTTTAGGAAGTCTGAGATCCCCTCCCAGCCACGAAGAACAACCTGCGAACTCTATTTCTGAAGGCCATTGAACTTCTTTAGAGACCAGAGGAGAACTTTGAGACCAGTACAGCTCTTGTGCCTATGATAGCTGAATGACTGTTGAAATCATTGAAAGAGTCAGGATAATAACCACTTCCTTTGACATTTGATTCTTGGTTCTTTTGTTGCAAGCTCTTTGGTCTTGCAAAGCTGGCTGGGGTCAGCATTGTGGGTCCCAAAAAAACCCTTAGAAAAAGAGGTTGCAAATCTCCAATCTCCATCCCAAAACATGTCACTGAAGACTTGAACACATCATCAGATACTCAAGAGACAGAAGATAGATTTCACCTATGGGAAAATGAATCTCCAAAGAGACATTTGGAATCGTCAGAGCCATTAGATGAAATACCTGAGAGTCACGTAGCTAAGATTTCACAAAATCCTGTCATAACTCCAGTCCAGAGGAGAAAGCTAGACCCACTCCCAAAGAAATGGAGGCATCATGGGAAGGCCAAAAGGTCAAAGAGAGCCAGGAAGGTTAAGAGAAAGGCAAAAGTGGAGGTACACTGCCTCCCTATTTTTCCAACACCTTCGGTACCACCACAAAGTGAAGATGAAGCTGTAGATAAAAAGCCAACCCTATGCAGTATCCAGGAGGATGATCCTGAACTTCCCAATAAGGTAGTCATAATGAATTGTTGTTGTTGTTGTTATGTGCTGTCGAGTCGGCCCCGACTCATAGCGACCCCTCCTTGGGTTTCCGAGGCAGTATCACTACAGAAGTAGGATTGCCCAACCTTCCTTCCGAGGAGTGGCTGGTGGGTTTGAACTGCCAGCCGTCTGGTTAGCAGGCAAGTGCCTTAGGCACTATGCTACCAGAGCTCCTTCATAATGAATAGGAGTGTCAAAATTCAAGACTTGCAACATTTCCATTGGAAAAATAATGACATGTTACTCTTCACCTGGAGAGGGAGGAGTTGGGATGAGTTTGAGAAACAAAGTCGTATTTTTGGGCCTAGATAAGGCAAGAAAGCACTGGCTCAGAAAGTCATGTCCTTTCTGTTTATGTATGCTTTCTGTGAGAGCTTTTTAACTTCTTTCTTCTATTTGCAGGACAACTTACTGAGCAAGCAGGATGCAGATACCTGTGTGATGCATCAGGAATGTCAGAACCAGCTCTGTGAGCTCTCAGTGTCCCAGGAACCTGGGCCTTCTTCTCCTACAGTGACTTCCTTGGCTTCACCACCACTCTGTCTGGGTCGTTTTCTAAGCTGTATCTGCCAGACCTTCTCGAGGTCTAGGAAGCTGAAACTTCCAAGAAGGAAGGGCAACAAGCAGGCTGAGACAGGAGGTGTGGCTGAGGCTCCAAGACCTGGCCTGCTGAGGAGTCTGGCCAAAAACAAGGTGCAGCCCCACCAAAGCCTGTAGCATGTTGAAATTTGTGCAGGTTTCTCTTGTGTTTATTGTTAGAGTTTCCTCTTTATGTCATTGTTGCTGCTAGTTGAATTGCTGTTTTTCAGAGATAGAGAGCTGCTTTAATGCTGAAATCTTCAGCCTGAGATGAAGTAAAACCAAAGTAACTTTGAAGCTTTTAGCTCCATACCTAGTGGTGGAATTACTTCCTATTTCTTTCCTGTTAGGGAAGTGGGATTTGCTCTGGAGCAGTGGCTCCTAAAATTCATGTATATTTCATTCCTATATAAGTTGGCATAACTTTCTTCTCACGTGACTTCTCCAAGGAAAGAAACTGTATTTTAAGAGGGAATACTGTCATTATTTTTGGGTAGTGTTTCCTGGAATCTGTCAACCACCAAGTGGAGACTCCTCATATCTAGCTCTTTTCATTTTCTTTTACCTTTGACTAGAGATTCATTTTACATTCTGGGTCTTCAGCACTTTGCTGAAACTCTGCCACTTTCTATTTGATTTGTATGTTCTTGGGCAGGATATCACTACCATCTCCTCCATCTCTAACTAAAGTTTGGTTTCCTTTTTTGTTACTTATTACTGAGATCCCTTACTCTTTCTTCTGAACTGTCCCTCTGGTGTTCTCTAGCTGCCTGCATAAAAAACATAGCCAAACAGGTAATTTTCCTTCCTTGTCATTCTTTAGCTAGACTCTTACAGAACCCTGCATTCTGAGAATTCTAAAGAAGATGAATACTTTAAAATTTCAAGATCATTTCCTTGTCTCTGTGTTGTCCTGGTGTGCTAGATTAAGCATCTTCTCAGGATATGAGTATAAATTAATCATATACCCACCCCCTTTTTTTTCTCTTTCATATACCCTCTTAAAGGAGTGTGTTTAAGAAGAGTTTGGGAGTTCTCCTGTATTCTTAATTACCTGTTGTTATTTCCTGCTTACTTCAGTTTCCTAGTTCATATAGGAATAATAAATAATAGTATAGATATAAATAAATATGCAGAATATCTGCATAAGAAGAAAATGGTAGGCTTTATTTTCTTCTTTCTTCAGTACTGATGCTGATAATCACTACACTAAAATTGTAGAGTGTCATGACTATGTTTGTTTTGTTCAGTTTTGGCCTGGAACAGGGCATTGTACTGTGGGGAAAAAATGTGATTTGGAAGGGAACAGAATGAATTGCAGGAGTGGTTCAAAGATCATCAATGCTGCCTCAGAGGTAGCAGGTAAAAACCAACCTTGAAGGCATCTTGTGATTTGATGAAGATCTCTAGAATTAGAATTTTAAAAATTTGGAGAATATCATACTCAGTGTTTGGACTAAAATGAGACACCTTTCTAAAGTCAGTCATGCTCTGAGGCCTTCAGCTGGCTAAAAATTGATTTAAAAAATATCTCATTTTACACTCCCTTCAAGAAGCAATACCAGAGAGTATATTGTTTTGGTTGAGCTCATTTATATTGACCATTATAAATGGGCTCAAGCTATTACATAAAATTACAAATTATCTAAACAGCATCTATATGTATGTATGTATGTATTTTCACAATTTAATACAAGAAAGGTACTCCCAGGCTAGGCATAATGTAGGTAAAATTCTGAGTCATGGAGTCTATTATTAAATCCTCAAAGAAATGTAGATATTAATATTGCTATTAGTACTACATTGTTATTATTTCTCATCAAAAGAAATTTCACGATGAGCCATTCTGTCATAGAAAAACTATTAGTTGGAACCTACTTAGCCACATCTGCAGCTCATCTATAGTAATGATTTTTATCTGAAGTTTATTATTACTCCAAATTTAGAATTCAAGTTTCAGATAAGGAAAGAACTCTACAAGCAGTTTTGAAACTCTTTTGCTCATGTGTCTTAGCCTCTCATTCACAAACGGGAGAAAGAGTGTCTGGTCTCTTCTGAGCCTTTATAAATGATAAATTGTATGTTCCTTAGTTTTAAAGTTTGTGTTGTTATTTTATGGCTTGAAATATTAAACATGGTTTATGACTTAATAAAGCTATCTTTGAAAAATATATTTAGAAAATAGTACAGCTGTATCAAAGGAAAAACAAATTAAAAAATAAAATCTAATATTATGGATGAGAGATAAAGCTTACCCTGTAAGAAAAAAAAAAAAAACAGAACAAGCAACCTATCGCCACCCTGTTGTTTCTATAGTGACCCTATAGGACAAAGTAGAACTGCCTCATGGAGTTTCCTAAGCAGTAAATCTTTATAGAAGCAGATAGCCATATCTTTCTCTTGCGGAGTGGCTGGTGAGTTGGAATCACCGAGCTTTTTGGTTAGCAGCCCAGTGCTTTAACCACAGCACACCTGAGTTTCCTGCAGAAATAACTAGCAAGTATAAAAATTATCTAAAGTATTCGATGTACCCATGTTCTGGTTACCTAGTACTGCTCTGACAAGAATATACCACAAATGGGATGGCTTAAACAAACAGGAGTTTATTCTTACAATTTGGAGGCTTTAAGTCCAAGTTCAAAGTGCCAAGCTCTAGGGGCTGGGTTAAAGCCCCTCAGCTATGGGCTTCAGCTCTGCCTCCAGCTTCCAGCCCACTGAAGCTAGAGGCTTTTCTTCACTCGGCTGGCTGCTGAGGCTGAGAAGCCCAAGGTTGACAAATAAAATGGCACAGTCCTGATGTTAACAAACTGCATGACAGGCCATTAATTTAAGTACATTGAAAGTCCCAAAGTTGGCAGAGCATGGCAGGCTGCTGAACAATGACACGGCTACATGCAGGGTCCAAGGGTGCTATAAGCTAGAGACTATCCCCAAGGCTTCTCCTTATGTACAGGAAGCATACCACATTCCCTAAGACAGCTACTCAGCTGCTCACAGTAGATTCCACCATGGAGTTGATTACCAGTCTCATCATGAGGAATACTACATCCAGCTGCCCAGCCATTTAACCAAGCCCAGCCAAGTTGACACACCAACTGAACTATCACAACCCAAGTCCTTTTTCTGTGGAAACTCAAATAAGTTTATATTTGCCAGGCTCTTTGAGGAAGGTAGGTAGATGTTGCTATACTCATTACACAGGTTGATTAAGCTGAGACTTAAACTTTACCAGTGATTTTTCCAAGATCATTTATGAGATTAGATAGGGAATTATAAGTTGTTTAGATAGAGTATTTAACCACTAACCTATGGTTTTATTACTGCTATTGCCATGCTTCTTGTCACATTCTGTATTGAAATGCTTCCTGCTGACCATTTTATTTTTGTCAGCTTGTCCTCCCATTAGTGTGGAAATATCAACTTATGTCATCTTTGCTTCCCTAGAAAATTTTTAACATGAAAGAATCCTGTCTAGTATAAAATTATACAAAGAACCAATAGAAAGAGTTTACTTATTAACTGGGTTTTGATAGAAAAAGTAGACATTATCTGGTTCTGCCTATTATTTTTCAGAGGAACCTGAGACCCAGAGAAATTATGTAACATTCCCAAGATGACAGCTGTTTAGTGACAAAACTAAAACAAGTAATAGCTAATAGCTAACATTAGATTAAATATTGTCTGTAGTGCCTAAGACATTTGACTGCTAACCTGAAGGCTGGCATTTCAAACCCACCAGCCACTCCTCAGAAGGAAGGTTGGGCAATCTGCTTCCATAGTGATACCGCCTTGAAAACCCAAGGAAGGGTCGCTATGAGTCAGATCTGACTTGATGGCAGTGAGTTTTTTGTTTGTTTGTTTTGTTTTTTTGTTTTATGCACATCATCTATATCTTCAAGCAATCAGCATAGGGTTAGTATTAATATTTTTCCTTTACAGATGTGGTAAGTTGAGTTCAGAAAGGTCCCAGGCCTAGCAAGTGACTGATGAAGATTTCACACCCAGGTCTGCCAGACTCTAAAGCTTTTGCTCATTACCTTCTAATTCACATTATAATAGAAATCTCTTTGTTGCTAATTCTCTGATGTCAAGAATAGGCAATTTCTCTTCTTTGCCCAAATTTAGATTTTTGCTTAAATACATATAAATAAAATATAGTCCATTTTAAAAACTGGAGAACCAAAGTCCAGTTAAAAAGATCTTTTCTTCCAGGTAAAATTTCTGTATTAGGCAGTGAATAATAAAATAGTTAATCTAAATTACTCATGTCAACCCTTTTTCTTTCAAAAACAGCCAAATTCATTTTGGGGGAGTCATGTGGAACAAATAGAGTTAGCATCCATGTAGTCCCAATTTGAGTGTTTCTAGAGAAAATTTCTACCCCAGAGTTTGTGAAACCCAAAACCTCTTTACTACTACAACCTGTGAAATCAATAGTTCTTCTAGGTAAAATGTCTGTATTGGGCAGTGAATAATAAAATAGTTAGCCTAACTGTGATTGAAAAAAGAAAATTGCAGTGTAATATAAACAAAATTTTAATTATTGTATCCAATGAAATCAGACAATTATATAACCAAAAAGTCATCAAGCATAAAGGGATAGCAGATAATCAAAGCAGGACCCTTGACAGGGTCACAAGACAAAGCACAGCAAAGATGAATTAGGTCCCATAGAAAGCTAATAGACTTAAGAACATTTCTAAACTGTTTTCAGGTGAATAGTTTGGGGCTTGGGTAGCAGAGAAATACATTGCCTAAGTAACCCCATGACCCTTGAAAGAAGCGGGTATATGCCTGGTAATGAATTCCAGGCTTTAAATAAGAAATTTGAATTTTCTCACGCTTCAAAACATTCTTTTCATTCTGATTTGACATGGTCTATTTTAAGACAAAAGAAAAGAACAACAAAACTGGAAGCTTTAAACCCTGAACTGTGTGGTCAAGGAATGCTGTTCTTCATTTTTTCAAATTCAAGGCATGAATTTGTTCTACGTGAGAGAGCAGATTGGGGCAGATATCTTGAGCTATTATCTGTCAGCTATAAAGAATTTCAGCCCTGCACCCATCACAGAACCTTTCTGATTGATTCTCTCAGACCTAGATATGGCTATCACCCACTGGTTCACAGTGCTGATCTAAAGGATGACTTTGGGATCCTCCCTCCCCCGACACCTTAAAATCAGCCCAGCAGTTGGTGCCAGGCCTACAGAA